CGGAGCCCTGCCTGCAGCCCAGGAAGGACCCCACACTGGAGCAGGGGGATGCCCAAAGGAGGCAGTGACCCTGTGGGAAGCCCATGCTGGAGCAGGGCTCCTGTCAGGAGCTGGGACCCTGTGGAGAGAGTAGCCCAGGCTGGAGCAGGTTTGCTGGCAGGACTTGTGACCCCGTGGGGGACCCAGGCTGGAGCAGGCTGCTCCTGAAGGACGGCACCCCATGGGAGGGACCCACACTGAGGCAGTTTGGGAAGAACTGCAGCCTGTGGGAAGGACTCACATTGGAGAAGTTCAACTGTCTCTGTGAGAGGGACCCCAGGCTGGAGCAGGGGCAAAGTGTGAGGAGTCCTCCCTCTGAGGAGGAAGGGAGCAGCAGAGACAGTGTGTGATGATCTGACCAAAACCCCCATTTGCCGTCCCCTTGTGCTACTGCAGGGGAGGAGGGAGAGAAATCAGGAGCAAAACTGAACCTGGGAAGAAGGGAGGGGTGGGAGGAAGGTATTTTAAGATTTGGGATTTATTTCTCATTATCCTACTCTAATTCTCTCTAAGTCAAGTCTGTTTTGCCTGTGACAGTAACTGGTGAGTGATCCCTCCCTGTCCTTATCTTGACCCACAGGCCTTTCCTTGTATTTCCTCTCCCCTGCCCAGCTGAGGAGAGCAGTGACAGAGCAGCTTTGGTGGGGACCTGCCCTCCAGCCAGGGTCAGCCCACCACAATAAACAATTTTGAAACAGCTACTGCAACTTACTGCACAACAGGTACACTTTGACATTTGGGATATGATTTTCATTGGACATATAAACAACTTCTCTTTAAGCACTGTTTCTTTGGGATTCCATGTTTGGTTCTGCGTATCAGATCTCACGATGCCCACAACTTCCTGAATATTTACAAGCAGAACCAAACAAGTCTTGCTGTCAGTGAACAAGATCTCTCAACTAATGCTGAACATTGGAATCACAGAGCTGTGACTGCCTACCAAGTTACAGTTTTTCAAGGATGGGAGGTAACATCAACATTTCCAGCACCTTCTTTCTTCTATCACTGTTCCCTTCCCAGCAAGTCACTGTTCTAACCCAGAAATAAGACTTTCAAGTAAGTTACAAGTAATAGCATGAATTAAACCTTAGATTTCACCACAGGAAGGGGAAACACAAGGGACAGACAAAAACTCATATGCAAAGTAGCGAATCCCCATGGATCACCTAAGCTTAAATGTTTTGTTAAACAACTCGGCAACTGAGTCAGATATCAGTTGTGGGTATAAAAAGCTTAACTTAAACATAATGCATTTATGTAGTCTCAGGAAGGAGGAGGGGTAATATACACATACCTGTGCGATAAAATTACTCAAGTGAGATGTAAAACTGGTATTATGTACTTTCACCAACAAACTGGAACTATAATACCTTTAAAATGGAACTCTGTTCATTTCCATCACAGGAAAAAATGAACTGAATCAATTTTTAAAAGGTCTGTTAGTATCTAAATAGGTATATTTTAAATACATATACCCACAGAGAATTTAGAATATATATTACTAACAGCCTAATAACAAACTCTTGCAAACATATAGAGAAACAAACCTCCAAAGGTTGTGCATGATAATGATCTGTAGGATCCTTCAGTTCTGCAGCCTCTTTCATCAAACGTTTGACAGCTGAAAAAGAGAAAAAGTGTAACACATGAAAATAAAGAAAAAAAATATGCACTGCATATATAAACATTTCTTGAAGAGCTCCTTTCAGCTGACTCATCTTTTTCAGCACACCCCAGCTTCTCCACTGGAGTTAATAATCCAAGACACAATATAAATTACTCACACTGAATAAATCTTGAGTTACACAAGCACAAAGTTATGAAAAGTATGTTGCACAGTCACAGAGCTTCTCAGCGCTGAACACTGGGACTAAAGCAGTTTTACATTATTAATTGCACCAAAGACATGAGGAAAAACATAGGTGCCATTAACAGAGTTTCAGACTTTAAGTATGATATGTACAAGATTAATAACTTTACTATTTCACCATAAAGGACATCATGTGCATCTTTGAACAACTGCTGAACAGCTTTATCATGGCAGCTCTTGTGACTATTACAAGACTGCTGTCTTAAGTATTCCGAAGGAGGTCACAATAAGATTCGAGCGAAATGAACAAAGCGGTAGTATGAGGAGATGAAGTTTTATACTAGATTTGAAAATGCATATGCCCGGCAAGAAAAATTCACCCCAGGCCTTTGTAATTTGAACCTACTACTGACTGTGAACACACAAATTTCTCTCCCCTAAATTCAGGGTAGTCATTAGTCACCCTTCCCAATCTTCTACTTCAGAACCACCAGAATCATCTGTATTTTCTGCAACTTCCTCTTCCTCCCCCTTTAGTAACTTCAGTTACATCACTTGTCCTGCCTGGTGCCCGCATGTGGAACGTCCACTAATGCCTAATAAAGATCTAATAAAGAAGGTGAATCGTAAGCGTCCACTAATGCCTAATAAAGATCTGTGAAACTGAAGAGCAGGTGAATCGTAAGAACTACAGACAAGAAATTCAAGGATGCTGTTTCATGAGTAAGTTTAGGTAGAAAGTTCTTACTCCCTCCTACTTACTGCAATAAGTGCAAATAGCAGTTACCTCTTTATGCAACTACATAGGAACAGGATCCCTTAATCCATCCTCCACATTCAGTTCAAACCATGGATGTCCCTCCCACTCATGTCATTATCTAACTACAAGGACGAGAAACACTGCCCAAATTCCCTTCCGCTGTAAGCATAAAGATACGGTGAAAGTGAACCGTAGTTCCTCGATTTACGAAGCCAACTGTGGGCTGCGATGCCAGGCTTCACTCACTTTTGTAACGCTGGGAGGAAAGCTACTCTAACCTTCCTGCAGAGGAATTCTGATCTACTGTGAAAGCCCTACTTGACAGCTATCAACAACAGCTCCAAATTCGAGGATTTCACTTCTTACAACCCAAAACCCAAACATACTATGTGGAAATTTGCTGCTGACAGTTGTCCCAACTCTGCTGGTGCCAGTGGGGTGTCAGTTAAACACCCTGCAGAGCCCACAGGGTCACAGCAGCAGCACCCCGGCTCCACTGAAAAACAGTTTCTCTTTCATCTGCATTAAGGTTTACCAGTTCATTAGCAAGGAGTAACAACAAAACCAGCCTGGACCAGAAAAGGTTTCAGACCTAGCACTGTTTCACAGCCAACAAGCCTGGACACTTGTCTCCAGAAGAATGGCACGCACCAGGATGAGCTAAAACAGGAGTGAACGCACCACAAAACGTGAGCAAACTGAGAACACGTATAATGAAGCCTAATGAAGACAGAATAATCACGGACAAGGTAGACAACTCTGTTACTGAGATTTCCCAGAGGAAGGACCAAGACAGCAGAGAAACACAGTCCCCCTGTATCAGCATCCTGTGCAGGTACCCACATTAACTGAGGGAAAGCTAACTGGAAACTGGGGAGAATGGGGACACAGTTCAGAAAGGTAACCCAAACTAACCAAAGGATTCAAACTTCCATAGCACCTGATGCTCACTATATAACCAGGGGTGGGCCGGGCTTAAACCTTGACACAAACATAATTCACAAAGTCTGCCTGCAACAAGTACATAACATCCTTCACCCAGGTTCAGCATTTTACTGCAAAACATGGTTTTTCAACCTACCTAAAAAGAAAAAAAAAAAAAAACACCACCCCACACTGAGTCAGCTAAGTAAATGTCTGGCAATGAGAACTCTGAAAAATGAGAACAGTTTGGGACCATTCAAAATAAAGAACAGCAAACTGCCAATAAAGTCAAAAAGCAATATAATACTGCCAAAAGAACTTCAAATCAAAGCATTCAATTTGTCAAAGACAGGTTTTGGAGACAAAACGTCCAGAGAAATTGTGGATGCCCCATCCCTGGAATAGTTACAACTCAAAACAACTGTTCAATCAACACAAAGGGAGATACAACTTATCAAATAGAAGGTGCTTTAAGATCAAACAACGCCCAGAGAAGCTGTGGATGGTCCCATCCCTGGAAGTGTTCAAGTGGAGGAGGCTTGGAGCACCCTGGTCTAGTGGAAGGTGTCCCTGCCCATGGCAGGGAGGTTGGAACTGGATGATCTTTAAGGTCCCTTCCAACCCAAACCACTCTGTGGTTCTATGAAAATAATCAAGGTATTTTTTTAGCATGGTGTGACTGTCAGCATGAAAAATAACCTGCTTTTACAGGTACAAGTGGCAACAATTTATCATCACATTCACTGAAATTAAATACTGAGGAAATTAAGTTTCTGGTCTAGCTCTAGAGAGCAAAGGACAGTTCCCTCCTTGGCAGGAGGTACAGGCACTCTCCTCTGCTCTGGGAAGGGAAGTAACAAGCAGGTATTATAGGCCAGAGGCTCTGACAGACAATTTGCCTCTTTTATGACACCCAACTTACTGTATTTTTCTGAAAAGTGAAAGGTGGATGTTAAAACTCTGAGAATCAAATTTAAAAGCCACCAGCCTGCTTTAGCATCGAGCAGTAGTGGAATCATTCAATTAACGAGCAAAATTAGTGTAATGTAAGCATGTATGATTTGCAGATTTACTTCTCAAAAAACCGTGTCCTGGTCAAATCCTACTTCTTAACTTTTACTTTAAGCTATCCTGAAACCTCTGTTCAACCCGACTGCTTCTCTTGGTTATATCCCAAAATCACATTTGAGTACTGCCGCTATCACACCCAAATAACTAATCTGCACCTCATGGCCCAGGAAACCCCTCTCTACAAAGAAAATGTAAGTGGTCAGTCTTCATAAACCAAAATATTACTGTTTAAAGAGATGATGTGATTTGAACATTGGTGGTGTTCTCTTACTAAAATACTATGGCTGATTTTTTAAAAAAGGCTGTTATTTTGAAAATAAAATAGTCTTAAAGCAATTATATTTAGCTTTACAGATCTTTGTTTTGTTAGTAGCCTTCTGTATTTGATAAGGAAGGATTTTAGTTCATTTATACATTATCAGTGAATGGTACACGTGGCAATGAAATGAGCTGACCAGGGTTATATTAATGTAAACATAGCACACAACACTGCAACAGGATTTATTTCAGCATAACGAAGTTGCATACCTTTTGCTCACTGGAAATTCCAAAAACCTGATACAAGTTCCAACCCCCTCCAACATCCAAAAACCTGGACAGGGTTACCAGCTTCCTGAAGATCTGCTACAACATGTCTACAAAAGCCAATGGCACCCAGGTGCAAGAGCTCAACAGCAGAAACGGGCCCAGGCGAGCGGCAGAGGTGAGGTGGGTGACACTAATCAAACCTGAGTTAAGCAGCACAGGGAGGGTGAGGTCTCAGCTCAGCCAGGCTCAGCCCCTAAGTACCTCATCACATGGAGAGACAGCATTTTGTGCACACAAAGATGACTTCAGGATCATGAGCAACACCAATTCCTATTTAAGTGACATGATTATCTTCCTCAAATGGAGAGCAACTATTTCATTCCACCAATTTTCAGTTCTTCTGTTTGAAAAAGAAAGTATATAATAAACAAAGGTACCCGAAACAGCTGGCATAAAGCCAGAGATCTCCTAATTTGTTCAAGTTGATCTATCTGATTTGGAAAAAAAGGAATAAAACAACCTGACAGCTCTTAGTGCTTCAGCAAATGCTTTCTATTTTTTTTCCCACGGCTCAGTTGACCAAGACAACATAAGTGAGGATGCAATTTACTTATCGTATCCAGGTTTTCCACTGAGTTAGTAAAACTCTTAGAATTTCTTAGAAAGTTCTGGGATGAAGGGCTGTATAATAACTCAGCTCACTTAAGCTACGAGTAAATTGCTAGTCACCTTTGTTACATGTTTGTCTATTAATGATGCTACTATCTAAAATTAGGAGAAATATTACACAATATTAGAAAAATTGAAACTGTACCATCAATTTGAGGAAAGCATCAAGGCCCTTCAATTACATGATGACATTTTGGGAATGACTTTTTAAATCCAGCTGGCTTTGGTTTTCCCCCTCCACTTAACACTTGACCGCTGAATCAAGAGTGCCTGACCCATGGCTGGTCTATGCACCACGTGACTTCAGAGCTCACAGCAGTGTCACCCACTGAACCACCACCAGCAGTCCTGCCAGCAGCCCAAAGCACCCGGAAACCCATTTACCCAAACTGCCTGTATTCGCATTCAAAAGAAAACCCTGTTTTGTAAAGGTAAGTTTCACAGAAAGGCAAAAGTAACAGCGCATCACTGTCAGTCGGCAGCTCAACTGCACAAACACTGGATCACGCAATAAAAAAAACAGAGCAGGATAAAATTTATGTGTAAAGTACATAGGATTTCTCATAAGATGACAACACTCAATGAGCTTTGATGTTTTAAGGAAAAAAAATCACTTTTAGTGATGTAGTCACTAAAGTATGCAAGGTAACATTTAAACTCAAGTGTCATAGCAGACTGGAGAGTTACAAAATACTTCTACTACATATCCTTGATACAGACAGGTATTTTTTAAGTAGTCCTGTACTCCCTAGAGAATGGATCATTAAATCTAAACATACCCTCAAGAGAATGGTTTATTAAATCTAAACAGAGACTATCAGGTTCACAGTCACCTGCACAGTGTCACTAGGTAACT